CAAAGACCCAGTTATTGACTGTATCACTTAATGACCAATATGACAGAAAAGGTTTTTAATAAAAGCCGATAATACACAAAAGATAAGGATTCAAAATATCTAAGTCAAACCTTACATTAAACCCAACTTTTTAAAGATAAACATGGTTGTAATCTTCATTAGTATGTTCTTTACAGTACATATATGAAGGTGTCATACACATCCAGGGGCAAGCTCATCTGCTGCTCTACACTGACATGCATGTTGAGTCAGCTGTGTGTTTGCTCTACACTGACATGCATGTTGAGTCAGCTGTGTGTTTGCTCTCCCCAGGCAGTGGATCAGTGCTGAATCCATCACTTTTGAAGGGAGCTTGCCACACAGTCCTGCAGTATAGAATTGTTACTTGTGAAAAGATGCAGAAAACCTCTGCACAACCAGTAACACGCTGATGACAAAGACTTGCCTTCAACCCAGATGTCTCCAGCAATCCCAGGATCCATTTTCAGACACATGCATTTCCTTTTTAGGGGACTTCTGCTCAGCCTGAATTTAAACTGTCCACAAACACCATCTGCCTTTGCAATGAGTACTGTTCTTATTCCTTTCTGGGCTACTGACAGCCCACACTGGGACCTGGAAACCAAGCATGTTACTGTGCAAGCCAACAGATGGCTGTCTTGCATTTCTTTCCATTAGCAATCCCATTTGTTACAGAGGAACAACTGTCGCTGTTCTCTGGAATCTGTTTTGCATCATGATTCTATATGATTTTGCAAAAAGAAGGAAGGAGAAATTCCCTAAACCCTTCTGTCTTCTATATGGAGGAAATTTCAACTGTGACATGACTGCTTCACTGTTTAGATACGAAACTGCTATACTAAACATTCATTTTTTTCCTCATAAAGTCTCATCAATGACAATACCAGATTTTTTTCTGCTTTTACTTAGACCTTTGCAGTCTATCTATACTCAGCAGGATTAAAATGGTCAATGCACATAGATATAATCATCATCCAGCATAACTAAGAGTAGCACCTGGTCTATACTACCTTGAAAATCAGGAAAATGATCCAACAGTTCTATCAGGCCTTCAAAATCTGGAAGTCAGCAGTTATTTATGGATCCTAAGCAGACTTGGTTAAATACCGCAAAAAAACAGTGAATAATTTTGTCATAAGCACTGTCAGCTCATTCAGTTATTATTTGTGGCTTATTAGTATTAACTGCATATGTGTATCTGCATGACGAATGTTTCCAGCCCTGAAGATGTTTATGAATCCTAAATAATTCACAATACCCAGTGAATAATAAACCATGCTGAAAAGTAATATCGCAAGTCATTATGGGTTAGATGGTTTTGGTTATTTTCTCATTTTAGCAGGCTAAATTATCTAAACATAGTGTAGAAACAGAAGACTTGCCTAAGCAGACAAATTTAATGCCTGAAAAATACCAGATTCTTAAAGAAACAGTAGCAGGGATAATTCATCAAAAACCTTTGTAATAATTTTTACTTGAATTGGCAAGAGTTAGCAGAATTTTTTAGCAATTAACACACTCGTAGAAAAGCTCACCAGTTCAGAAACAGGACAAAAGGAAACAAAAGATTAATCAGTTCAATAGTTCATCAAGAATAATCTTAAACACTTCCAGTCCATAATAGACTTAAAGATTTGCAATTAATCACCATTGTCAGAGTAAAATCCGCCTTATTCTTTAGGATTTAAAATAAATTAGGCTCCATTCCGGACAACACCATTGCTCAACAGACATAAATAAACACAACTTGAAAGAGTGCTTAGTTCAGGTTAGTGGACAGAAGAGCTAAAGACAAGCTGGAACATATCCCTCACAGATATTTGCATAGATACTAGTTATGTACTCTGGGGACAGTTCACTTGGTATCAGTTCCTTGTCTTGCCTTCTCCGCTCTCTCGGTAAGGGATCTTTTTTGACATTGTAGAGGCCAAACATGAACATGAGGCCACTCGATGAGGCCAGAATCAGCAAGGAAGAAGCAGGTGATGATTTTGCAGAGTGTCTTTGCCTGGAGCCTTTCATCAGAATCCAGTCACTCCAAGTTGCTAAAGACTGTGAGGATGATGATGAAAGGTGTGGACCTCAACAGCCCACCAGGATGCTCGCTCATTTAGAGGATGTCTGCTGTTTACAGTACATTCATATGCTGGTGAACAAGAACAGGCAGAAGACCAGGGATGTGCCACTGATTGCAGTAATGATATCCCAGAGGTCCCTGTGTTCCATTTACCCTGACACTTCATTCTGCAAAAATATTTGGAAATAGGAGAGTGAATAACAATCCCTGGATTGAACCAGCACAGCTATTATCATGATCTTTTATTTGTCTAAATGGAACCAACATTTCTTCTGCAAATGGAGAGAAGTCAAGCTTACCTTTATGGTGATGCCTGTGTGCATTCCTTGAAAGCATGTACTGCACAGCAGGTGTTTCATCTGCAATAATCAATGGCCAAATATGTTTTTCGTAGCAATAAAAAGAAATCAAAGCCCAAGTTTTTACCGGAAAAATATCTAGCCCACATTTATATAACACCAGAATATATTAAAAGGCACTGTATTTGTGGAGTGGGACAACCATGGGTAAATTGTTCCTTGTCCAGTAGCTGACATAGCTCGTAGTCTAAGGGAAAATTTTATGGTTTACATAAGTCCTTGCACACTGGGGCTCACAAAGTAAACGCCAAGACAATCTTTGCTGGGAACAAATCCCTTTTCAGACTCTCTGCAGATCTTAAACCCATGGTCTCATTATCTCTCATACAGCAGGCTTCTTCCTTGTATGACTTATTTCAACGGAAGACTGTTTTCTAGTGCCAAGATTTTGGAAATTGTCCAGACTTCCAGGTTCTATTGAAGCTCCCTGACCTCTTCACAGACCCTCATCACCATAGCTGGCTGATACAGCAACTGATGATAGTCAGTCTCTCATCACAACCAGTCTGTCACCCACACATGAATGATCACAGCCAGGTCTCCTTAACATATTTCAAGGTTACCTTGGCATCTAGATGAAACTTAAAATCCCTAGCAGTCAAAAATAACTTCTGGAATTGGCTATGGAGAAGAGGGACAGTCTTCTCTGTAAGTCCATTGAAGAGGGCACTATGGAAGTGGAACCCTGGGATGTTGCCAGGGCCGCAATTGGTATGAGTACTTATCCTTTCCAGTCTTGATGGACATTATCAGTAGCTCTTTCTACACAGGCTGCATTTTGTATTTACTGTTAGTGGACTCATAATGGAGCTAGCAAACCTTTTATTCTTACTTTAATTTGCTTTCACATCAGTTTGGCTAAAACTTGGGATTTTCCCCCACATTCTTCATTCCTTCGTTTATCAGATTCATTCCTGCTTCAGAATATTTTAACTTTCTATGTATCTGAGTTGGAGCTAGTGAGACCTGCTGGTCTGGCAAGCGAACAGACTAACACTGCATTTCTAGATATGGACAGAACATGTCACACTATGGCACAATCTTCAAGAAAGTGCTCCTCATTCCCAGAGCTCTTCAGTTTCTGCAGTTACTCACAGGCCTCCCCAGGAGTTAGCTTTCCCATCAGGAAATTCTTCACAGTTTTTGATGCACTTTGCATTCCTTGACCTCCTCATCAGGATGTATGGTGATTCAGCAGACCGTTGTCACTGGAGCTGATTTAAAAAGGACAAGAGAGGAAATTATGATTTGCCTAAAGGTTTAACACTGCCTATTTTAAGAGTGTCAATAATATTTAGGTTGTTATGAATAGATTTTCCCCTGTATGTACTTGTCTTCGACTATCAGTGTTGGGACCGGTCTTGTTTAACATCTTTGTCGCTGACATGGACAGTGGGATTGAGTGCGCCCTCAGCAAGTTTGCCAATGACACCAAGCTGTGTGGTTCGGTTGATACCCTGGAGGGAAGGAATGCCATCCAGAGGGACCTTGACACGCTTGTGAGGTGGGCTGATGCCAACCTCATGAAGTTTAACCATGCCAAGTGCAAGGTCTTACACCTGGGTCGGAGCAATCCCAGGCACAGCTACAGGTTGGGCAGAGAAGAGATTCAGAGCAGCCCTGCGGAGAAGGACTTGGGGGTGTTGGTTGATGAGAAAATGAACATGAGCTGGCTTCAGTGTGCACTTGCAGCCCAGAAAGCCAACCGTATCCTGGGCTGCATCAAAAGGAGCGTGACCAGCAGGGCGAAGGAGGTGATCCTGCCCCTCTACTCTGCTCTTGTGAGACGTCACCTGGAGTATTGTGTGCAGTTCTGGTGTCCTCAACATAAAAAGGACATGGAACTGTTGGAACAAGTCCAGAGGAGGCCACGAGGATGATCAGGGGACTGGAGCACCTCCTATATGAAGACAGGCTGAGGAAGTTGGGGTTGTTCAGCCTGGAGAAGAGAAGCTGCGTGGAGACCTCATAGCAGCCTTCCAGTATCTGAAGGGGACCTACAGGGATGCTGGAGAGGGACTCTTCATTAGGAATTGTAGTGATAGGACAAGGGTAATGGGTTAAAACTTAAACAGGGGAAGTTTAGATTGGATATAAGAAGGAAATTCTTTCCTGTTAGGGTGGTGAGGCGCTGGAATGGGTTGCCCAGGGAGGTTGTGAATGCTCCATTCCTGGCAGTGTTCAAGACCAGGTTGGATGAGGCCTTGGGTGAGATGGTTTAGTGTGAGGTGTCCCTGCCCATGACAGGGGGGTTGGAACTGGATGACCTTAAGGTCCTTTCCAACCCTAACTATTCTATGATTCTATGATTTCAGATTAAGTGGCAAACTACAGGAATCCCATTCCTAGATACAATATGGTTTTGCAAGACTCTCATGATAACCACAACCCAGTAGGGGTCCAGCAATACCTACATGGATTATTTCAGAAATTAAGTAGCAGAAAGGATCTGCATGGAAGAGATATCTTCTAGTAACTGTTGCCGCAGGAAAGAAGTAGCTTATCTCTCATCTCTTATCTCTCATCTCTCATTCTGTAGAAGTGCAGGAAGATCACACAGGACTACACTTGCTTTCTGACAGCAGAAAACTTTGACCATACTGGTGTCGTTTTCCAAGAAACCAGCTCTGGTATCTCACCTGTCTGCTGCAGCACTGATGTATCCTTTGTTAAAGACAAGACATCGCTCATCTCTCTCCAAGTACAAATGTCTTACAAGTCAATTCTGTGCTTAATGCAAGCTGACAAAAGGAGGTTTATATACTGCGCAACAATACCCACTGCCACTCATGCAGAGAGAAGATACTTCAAGGGCAGCTGGCTCCTATGTGACACAACTACTGCTTTGGCAAACAGAACAGATGACTTGCAGCACTAACACTGTTCCCTGCTTCAAGTCCCTCAGCTGGACCGTTAACTTCTATCTTGTGGCACATTTGAAGATGAATCGGCATCTTAGCTTGCAGTGGTGTGGCTAATATAAACACAAACACACTGCAGAGAGTAGAGAGCTTGAAGGGGAAAGCCACGGGTCTTGGAAGCAAAATTATTTGCAAAACCTGAAAAGGAAATAAATAAAAGTAAATGAGTGATCTATTAAAAATACATTAATGGCATCTACAAATGAAATTATATCTCAGATAATCACGTTAATAGCAGGGCCTCTGGTGATCATTAATGCTTAATTTTTCCTTGTATTTGGTGAAGGCATATATTAATTAAAAATACTCACATAAGGTAGAGGCTTGACAGGAATACTCTGTGCAGGCGTTCGGAAGGGAGCTGCTCTGTTAAACAGCTATTTTAGAAGAAAAAGCCTCTACTCTATACAACAAAAGCAAGGCTATTCTTCAATAAATCTTGTTTAACGCCTGTGCTTTCTGAATATCCTCTGTGGCTAGAATTGGATGGAGTAGGCTGCTTTCTACAAATGATATAATACACTTTCGTTCCCGTTGTTTAGTTAGCTTGTACTGGAAATAAACTTTCATCTTATCCTCCCCCTCACTTTTACCCCCTTTTTATTGTTAAACTTTTATTGAATTGTTGAACATCCAAGAACAAAACCAGACGATCTGATATGTCGAAAGTATTGTACAAATGAGGAGGGCAAAGCTATACACACATTCAATAGTGGGTATGAAAATATTATCAGACTTTGAGGCAGGGACAAACCAAGACCATGTGTCACTAATGAGACTATTCAAAGTAATTCTGATGAAGTTATGATTCTATTGTCATCCAGGACTGAGAAGGAAATGCTTAGCATTTGAAAAAAAGAATAGTTAATCATTTTGCTGCTCTCTGGGGCATTCTTTCAGGATTTTCCTCTTTGTTCTACCCCCTTTTTTTCCTTTCCTTTTTTTTCCCTCTCATCTTTTCAACATAAGCAGTGTTATGAAAACAGAGAGGATTAGAAGTTGTCCCTGACATGCTTCATTGTAAGGTTGTTAGTTTTGTCTTTCTGCATTTATTAGTTTGAATTCTGTACGAGGCACCTGTTAGCTGCTGAGAATAAATCAACAGGAAGGTCACACATGGGTTTGTATTGTACACTTGCCTTTTTAAGCTTGTTGTGAGCTCAGTGCTTTGCTATACAGGAATAAACGCTGGAAAGAGCACCAACCATGCTGTAAACACTATTTCATTATGTGAACTGTGTGTGAATTGTGTAGGCTCCTCAAGCAAAAGTTAATCTTAACGTCCTGTTGCCAATACTGTCATAATTAACTTAGGGTAGCGACGACAGGAGTCTCAATTCATGGTGCCATTTAAGTAAGTAATAGCTATGGCAGATAAGTTTAACTATAGCTATGTTACATGGAAAGAAATGAGCACTGGAAAAAGGCACTTGGAGAAATAAATGGAAGATGATGTATGGATGTAGCTCTCTGGAAGCTCAGATAAAAAGGCCTGCCTGTGCAGTCCATTATGCTTGGTAAGTCAAGGATGGGATGCATAAAAGCAACTGTTGAAGTTTAATACAAGACTTCATATTCATTATGGCTCATGAGAATGTCCAGTTCCCCGTGCCCTTTAAAAACTACAGCTGGTCTTTACAATGAGAAAGGTTTCTCAGCAGCGTTGCCCATTTCTTTAACACTGAAGCATGTACATGAGACTACTGCATGTGCCTCAGGAATAGAACACAAACTCAAGGCCCTCTATGGGATGGGGAAGGAGAGGGATGCAACAATTCCAAATCCCAAAGCCTTTTTCACCTGGTGGTGGGCTCCACAGGCTCTCACTGCTCCTCTCTGAGAAGCTGCACCAGTCCTATGAAAGAAGAATTCAGCACTGATGAGGTCAGGAAGAGGGAGCAAGGGGTGATGTGCTCCAGTTCCTGTCCTAAGTCTTGCTTGCGCATTTTATATGAACATTTGCATTTTGTTTGTATGGCTCCAATATTTTTTTAATTATACTTTCTTTATTATTAAAGATAACATGCTATGGATAAGTTCACATTTTAGATGTATGGCAAATTATATCTCCTCCCCCCCCCACTGGTAAAAGATACATTTACTATTTTTCTAACCCCTCCTTGCAACCTGGCACTGCAGCCAATACCAAAGTCAAAGCACAGCCAGAATATCCTTTCTTGCATGAAGTCAAGGAGTTGTAAGTTAAATTCATTCCACACTGAAGCTCGTGGCAAAGCTTCCACTGACTTCCATAAAGGTAAGACTTTTCCCAGTTATTTCAATCTATGAAGAGGCAAATCTAAATTTTCCTTAGCTTTAAAGAACAATCAAAGTACAGGTAATTATAAATATCAGGCAAAACCGCCACAGTTGCTCACCCAGAAGGAATGTTTTGAATGTTGATCAATCAGGTTCTGATTTTCCATAAAGAGAAGGACGGTTCAATCCCAATTTTACATATGCTGTATGTACTGGAACAGTAGGAATACGTGTTTTGCAGCTTCAAGAGCTTATTCCAGCAATAATCAAACACAGAACCCCTAAACATTCAGCATTTGGCCATCATTACCATAGAGCACAAGCTGGCCTGTTCCCCAGACACTTCATTCAACAATAAATTCTGATGATACCAACACATTGAGCAGAAAAACAGAATAGACAATAGGAAATAAATGAACTACGAGTCTGCCTCGAAGTGTTAGTGGACTGGCATTATTAATGGTGTTTTGTCAATTCCATTGATGGGCACCATGCTGCAAGAAACATGAAGTGCCAGCTCACTTCTTCATGTAATTTGGCATCTTTCTGACAAAGTTAATGGATCTATGTAAGTTTTCACCCCAGGTGAGAATCTGACCAAACATTTAGACATGTCATTGCTTTGATAAACTTGCAATATAAAAAGGATGGTGGTATAACAGGCAGAAGCCTTTTTGAGAAGGCAGAAGCAGAGACAAATGTAGTCTGTCAGCACAGGTGAAGGAAGAGGGGCTGAAGAACAGAATACTAGTGATAAGTACCAGAATTTTACTTCATTAGCCAACAAAGAGTGAGGCTTTTTGCTGGCCATTTTACAATTCTCTCATTTGACTTGTTTACTGATGGAAACATTTGCCAAGGAACTTTGGAAAAATAGTGACATACGAACAATCTGTTGCGGCATATTGTAGTGGTGGTGTTTGTGCTGCTATAGTTACTAAGCTTTTAGCATTTTTTGTAATTTGTCTTGAAAAAGCTGGAACTTGGCATGAAGTTTTTGGGTGCCTCCATCTTTAAGTCAGATGGTTTTCATATTTTTCATTATATTTCTGTAGGGTTTTTTTTTCCTATGTGAAGAGAAGCCTGGAGATATGCTGTGTCAAGGGAAGGAAAAAAGCCTGCTCAGATGAAGGTGGGGAAAAAAACCTAAATGCATTGTAGGATGTGGAGAAACAGGTGTAAACGTCTTTTCGAGGTGAGAAAAGTGTTTGCAGGTTACTCGCATGTCTTACGGAACTGCAAAATTAACCAGGCTATGCAAAAAAAAAGCCCTTGGGATTTTACTTTCTTTGGTTTCAGATCTCCCAATGATGATTTACTTCAATGCTAGTATTTTTTTGTACAGGACAGTAGCTTGGCTTAAATCCCTGGTTTTCAGTGTGTTCATTCGATGGACTCCATAAAGACAAAATCAGCACACTGAGGGAAGTATAAGCTTCACATATTTTAACTGTGGTCAAAAAATTGGCACAGGAAAGCCCAGGGATGAAATACTGTACAAGCACTTAAGAGAGAATGAACTAATGTCATCAGCAACACCACCAAGAAAGACTGAATAAAGAGAAATATGTCTCCTGCTTCTGTCTGATTAGGAAACCCGAGCTCTGCTGGGCTAACACTGACCTGTAAGATACTTCCACTATAAGCCTAAACCAGAACCTCTTGCTCAAGTACTTGAACTGCCATGTGGCTCTGCTGTGGTGGGACATAGAAGTACCTACTAAAAATATGGAGGGTACAAGAACAGCAGACGTGTTGCAAAGAAGTCCAGGGAGGAACTGAGGGACTGAGGAATGAGGAAAGAGAAACAGGAAAAAAAATCTCAAACAAAATTATTTCTGAGTAACCCAACAATAAGGAAAAGAAAATACTATGTAAAAATCATCCTTGGGGGAAGCTGGGAAGTGATGAGTGTGACTGGTGTATCTTACCCCATTTGGGAATCTTTCCTATCACTTCCTAAGACTTTACATATGGGTAGTTCCCATTACTGTTAAATGCATTAAAGTATTAAGTTTCAGTCAGAAGACTCCTCACCCTCCCTGAACCACAGCCCACACAGAACATCCTACGCTCCTGCCAGTTGTCATCCTAAACGCATGGAAAATCTTATCTGACATCTGTAAGATTAGTAAGACATTTAGCTAGTGTTATGGAAGTCTTCACTGCTTGAACTTCATGTCTTATCACAGTTCTGCAACAATTTTCTTGACACTTTGAACTTTCGATAGGTCTTTTTGAGGGAGAAGGAGGCTGAAAGAGGATTATTTCAGTGCTGTTGATGAACTTGTTGACAATAATACTTGTTCTGCACAACATGAGGAAGAAAAGATATAGATGTTTCTGTTTGTTTTCAACACCTTGACTTTCTTTGTAGTTTAACAGGTGGATGCAGAGAGAAGTTAAATCCAGTAGCTTTAAAATGAGTAAAAAAATAACTGAAAAATATAGAATATGCTTAATCAACAAAACTGATTAACTCAAGATAATGTCGTTAGAGGTTTGGTGTGGTGAAGTGGGATTAGACATGTATGTGTACCAATAGGTATAATCTATCAGCGTTTGTATGGAAAGAGTAATATCCGTGATTATGTTATTTGAAATATACATCCATATCTATATATTGCTTACACTGAGATATCAATGCGTGTATTAGAAATAAATACTAACCAAACGAACAGGATGGTTTTAGAAAGAAATTCCCCCTTTTAGGAAGTTTATTTCACAATATATCTTTTGATTTACTCTTCAGGAGCTCACATCAGCCACTGTAGTGTGCTGGATACCTACTTATGGACCTCTAATACTAGTCTGCAACATGACTTCTATGTTCTGCTGTTCCCCCCGTCAGTCCCTGTCCTGCTGTCTCATACCGTGAAACACAAATTACCCGTAAAAATGATAATTCTCTTATTAGTTTTAAAGGTCAAATCAAATGATGTGGAAAATATGCAGTGGTGTGACATATAATTTACATAATTGCCACAAAAACACTGCACTAAAGCTGTGTGGGGGAAAAAGTAATAATAAAAATTATAAAAAAATAAAACCCCATCAAGCTCCAGTGAGGAAAAGCCAGTCAGGCAGATTTGCTGTGAGAATAAAGTGTGGCTGAACCACTGACATGTGAACAGCACTAGCAACCGAATGATGCTCGCCACATTCAGTTCTGAATGTACTCTCCTCTTTTTCCCCACCCCTCTCCCCCAAATATATGGGCACAAAATGAGAAAGGGAAAATTGGACACCTCCCACCAATCCTGGATTTTGAGATGGTTTGTTTCTCGATCTGGAATGTAATTTTCAAGGTCTTCACACAAATCCACTACCCTTGAGCGAGGGGGTGGACACAGAGGAGACATTGTTCATCCTACCTGATGTCCCAGATGGTGTCACATGGAGCTAATGGGGTGTGAGCTGAGTCAGTCCAGGGGCCTGCCAGTCCCTAGCATCCCCTTTGCAGGCATTGGTTTTCCCTTGTCTAGGCACTTGAAACAAGCAGGTAAGGACTTTGTGTGGATGAAGGTGCTGTCAGTACTACCCTTCTCCTCCAGGGCTTGGCACTATGGACATAGTCTGTGGATCTTGCTTCTCCTCAGGACACAGTTCATGTGGTGATAAGCAGGAGCTTCAAATACTGACTCAATGGAGGTCTCATGGAAGCTGAAGCAGCAGCTGATATGCCTGAATGGGAAGGAATTAAACTCAGCTTGTAGCTTAATAGCGACTTCCGAAAAGCCCTCACTTACAGAGAGCAGACCTTGAATAAACATAGCTTGAATCCATTAAAGGAAAAACCAAACCAAAACTACCACACATAAACCAATCTAAGCTATTTAAAAGCAAGCTTAAGATTTCTTCTAATGCATAATTCTTGTTTAAATTCATTAACTGGCTGGGTTTGGCTGATGATTTTAGAGGGATTTTATACAGGAATTAAATAACTCAAAAACGTGGTAATAAACTTGACATCTGCTCATTTTTGCTTGAAGTTTCAGGTGCATCCCTCTCCTAGCACACCAGACATTACGCAAGGCTTTCTGCATGGTACATCTGACAACTGAGACAACGATGCTTATTTCTGAGATTAAGACAGCAAGTTGTTTGTATTCATGTCAATGAAGTATTAACTCTGACTACATCATTGGTTACTATGGCTCAGTTTATAATGGCTCAGTCTTGTGTTCTTATATGCGTACTGAATTAACAATGCTTATGTCTATTTTGCCTTTATTTTTTAATATCACAAAGCCAGTCTTACTTTGCTTTGATTAATTAAAGTTGATCTTGCCTTAAAATAATTAAGTGATAATAGGTGAGTAGACATTAGAAAAATGGAGTAGGATATTGAGGAAAAGGTGTTCTATTACACTGTGTCTCTATCTTGGACTTACAGCTCAGTTCATTTCACATCTTACATATTTATCACCCAGATTCTTAATAGAACTTTTTAATCAACAGAAGTGAAAGAGATCTCTTATTCAGTTGACACATCACAAATTAATAATATAAGCAATGAATGAGAACATCCAAATGGTCTTTCAAGGCCAGAAACCTTGCTGCTTCTGAAGTGCAAAGCTCTGTTATGAAATAGAAGAGGTAAAATTCTTTTAGCTGTCAATGGACATTCATATAATTCACTGACTATATTAAAGGAATCCCCATAAGATATCTGTTCAAGGTCAAGTTGTTTCACATTTCCATATTAAAAAGAGGAAAAAAAGTAATACAATGACACACTGAAAGAGGGTATCAGGTAATTAGATAAGGAGCTTTTGTGATGTAGGCATTTGGAAAGCTTAGAACTAATTTTGGCAGTGAGTAATACTGCTCACTTCTTTATAGGATCATATTAACAGCAGCCTCAAAAATACAGCTGAGCTGAAATATCCTGCTGTCACGATTAAAGTCAGTTTGCACATGGCTATCAGAGACACTGTCCTGGGTTCAGCAGTAGCAGTCATGTTTTTTCCTTTGTGTTAACTGGTGCAGTGCTGTGTTTTGACTTCTAGTTTTGAGAACAGCGTTGGTGAAGCCGATGTTTTCGGTTGTTGCTAAGTGATGTTTACCCTGACCAAGGACTTTGTGAGGCTCATGCTCTGCCAGGGAGGAGGGGAGGCTGTGAGGAAGCAGAGACGGGGCGCCTGACCCGGGCTAGCCGGGGAGGTATTCCATACCACAGCACGTCATGCCCGGGGTGGGGGGTAACTGGGAGTTGCCCGGAAGGACACGGGCTTCCGGGTGGAACTCGTTTTCTTGGCCGGTGGTATCGTATTCTCTTCCCTTGTTATTTTCCCTTATCATTGTTTTAGCTGATAGTAGCGGTGGTGATTTGTTGCTGGACTGTTCTTGTCTCAACCCGTAGGAGTTGCACTCTCTCGATCCTCCTCCCCGTTCCTCCGGGAGCGGGGAAGGGGAGAGCCCCGGTGCAGGGAGGGGGGGGGAGACGAACACGGACCTTGATTGTTGTCAGCTTGGCACCACTCACTGGGAGTGAGTGAACAAGTTACCTGACTGGGTTTAAACCACGACAGACACCACAGGTTAAAAAATATATGAAAAATACTGATCAATTGCTAAAAAAATCCTTAGGGTTATCAAATATTATCAGAAATGTATACATATGATTAATAATCATGTTAACTTCCTTTTCTCTAAGCCTTCGTACATATCAACACATCAATGTTATTAAAGCTTAGGAAGCAAACAGCCAAGAAGTGCGTATTCAAACACCTAATTCATACTACTCCATCTCTTCTCAACCCCTGCCTTCTGTTTTTCCTGCCCATTTGCTCTACCTTGTCTCTGACAGCAGATTTGAAGGGTGAGAGCTGGCACTTCGGATGTTAGTACAATACCCAGCACAACCAGCCCTGCAGATGTTAGAATAATAGCAATAAATTATAGCCTGAAGGGACAGCTCAAGCAAGGGAAAAAATACTTGTCACAGAACAGTTGGAACTCTAGTGGTATCTGGGCGAACTCTCCTGTACTGACCACAAACACTCTGGCACAGGTTTGGAAGGGTCATGCTGAGGATGAGGAGCCCTGTGCTTCTCCCACTTTCCTTGGCCGACACCACATGCTGATAGGGTTCTTGCATCACACCGAAACTGTCCTATTAACACATGAATTGAGATCAGCTGTGATGCTGCACAGCACTGTCTTGGATGTAATATGTTCATTTTCTTGAATTTGAGAATGATAATGTTTATAATAATTCTTGTTAACTGTTTATTAGCAGCAGGCTTCTCACAGACACTGAGGCCAACTTACAGACTTCTATCCACACAGATAGCAGGTGGAAATTAGTCATGCTTTTTAAAATATGTCATAACACTGAAGCGGCACAAAGTAGCTTTAGTGTGGGTCCTGATCACAGTATACTTCATTAATTGTGATAACTATTGATGCTGATGCTGTTCCAACCCAACTGAGGAACAGAAGGTGTGGACGAGAGGTTTCCTTATGGCTGGTGCTGGGGTCAGAGCTGCATCCAGGAATTGGAAAGACTCTGATCCTGTCACCTTAGTGCCAGTCTTGGTGTCACCCTATTAAAGAACTATTCGTTGGGTCCATAACCTGAATTCTGACACTATCATGGGATGACAAATATCAGTCGAAGGCAGATTATAAGGTCAAACATTTGCCTTTGGTTTCTACTGTGATCATGAATGAAGACACATGTACCGTATTCTATTCCCATTGACTGTTTTCCTTGTCTGCTATATTTTGTTTATTATCTGCAGGGTTTCAAGGGCAGACATTGCCTTTGCGTGCTGTGCCAAACAGTACGGCTCTAATCCTTGTTGGGGATTATTAAACACTGCTGCAGAAAACAACACACACTTCTGGAACAGAAGAGATTGAGAACTGTGAGGCCCAACTTTAGATTTATGAATGTGACATGACAGAGGTCCAGAGTATCACGGCAGTAACCAGTTGTTGAGGGGCCTGGCTGGGAGCCTGGCACTGCAGGTAGCTGTGTAAGCCCAGTCAAAAGCCTTACAAATTGAACATTTATTGTCACTTCCTTAAGTGGGATAGAGAAGACGCACCTAAACCAAGTAAAAGTTGCTGCTGAAGACAGTGGGAAATATTTACACTTCTACCAGATCTCAAGATTAGGCAAGGCTTATTTTTCATTTGTAGCTAGGTTCAGTATGCGAGAACACGAACACTATAATCTGTCTGTCGTATAATAGCTCCAGACGGGATTTAGATGAGTAAAAGAGACATTTCTGAAATGTCAGATGAGAAAACACACTGAAAGAAGAAGGCAGACCTATGCTGCAAAATGGGAAGATTATGTACTCACTAGCTTATACATCATTACTGATTGCTGCCAGCAGATCAGAACAAGATTGTACCTGGAAGACCAGTACTGAAGGAAGAAAAAGAGAAAAAGAAGTTGTAGACTTCCTTTACGGCAATTTGTCAGAGACTAAATCTCAGGTTTCCACACCGCAGTAACTACCACTGGATGACACCCATTAATATTGGTGCTTTCTCAGTAACAAATGAAAACATGCCCATTTTTTACTAAATAAGAATGTTAAATATAATGTGGATGCATAATCTTTTTTAACACAGTACTTATGATTGTTTTCTCCACTGCTGCACATACTGCTTTATGCAACATTCCTCTCCATTATAGAGGCTATGACCTCGTTTCCCACCAAGGCTGATGACCAAGCTGAACTACAGTTCCCTTACCCCTATCTTAAAGTGGCCCACATCAAACTAAATCCTTCCCCTTGAAGGCAGACTGCAGGCAACCAAGTAATTTCCAACATGAGAAAAGCTCTTGGATTCATCTGCTGTAACCTCTTGTGCTGGGAATGACTGAGATACCTGGAACATAGGTCAGCTGTATATATAGGATGACTCTTCACGCTCTGAGACAGTGGGAGTGAGGACGCTGCACTGGGATTTGAGGTTATGATAGGTGGGGATTCCCTTTAGCTCTAGACTTCATTTGAATGATTTTTCTGAGAGCTGTCAGATGAGAAAACACACAGGAAACGTAGAAGAGAAACACAGCTGCTGTTATCCAACCACTGAAATGTTGCTATATGAAGATTTCCATGTGGACGTGTTGAATTTAGGCATAAGGAAGCAGCAACAAAGTGCTCCTGAATATGCATTCCCTAGTCAGCCATACAAGTGTATTATCCTTTGGAGGCTGTGTGTGTGATACCCACTGTCATTCAGAAGGATCTAGACAGGCTGGAGAGATGGGAAGAGAGGAGCCTTTTGACATTCAACAAAGGGAAGTGCGGGGTCCTGCACCTGGGGAAGAATGACCCCATGCACCACTAGAGGCTGGGGGCTGACCTGATGGAAAGCTGCTCTGTAGAGAGGGACCTGAGCATCCTGATAGACACCAAGCTGTCCATGAGGCAACAGCATGCCCTCATGGCCAAAAAGGCTGATGGTGCCCTAGGCTGCATTAGGAAGAGCGTTGCCAGGAGATGGAGGGAGACGATCCTCCTCTCTGCTCAGCCCTGGTGATGCCTCATCTGGAGTACTGTGTACTTGGTGTGTACTTGAGAGCCCAGAACTGGACAAGAAGAACATGGAGCTCCTGAACCAAGTCCAATGGAGGGCTACGAAAATCATTAAGACTCCGGAGCTTCTCCCATATGAGAAAAGGCTTCAGTCTAGAGAAGACTCAGAGGGGACCTGACCAATGTGTATAAGCACCTGAAGGGAGGGTTTCAAGAGGACGGGGCCAGGCTCTTCTCGGTGGTACCAACTGAGGTATCAGGACAAGAAGCAATAACTCTTACAGTGTGTGCATAACTGAACTAGTTTTAGTGTATAAACTAAAACACAGGGAGTACCACCTCAACATGAGGAAAATTCTTCCTTACTGTCTGAGCATTGGAACACATTGCCCAGGGAGGTTGTGGAGTCTCCGTCTCCCGAAGTATTCAGGACCCCTTTAGGCACAATCCTGAGCAATGTGCTCTAGGTGACCCTGCCAGAGCAGGGAGTTTGGACCAGATGAACTCCAGAGGTCCCTTCCAGCCTCAGCCATTCTGTGATGACTTAAACAGTTTTCAGTGGCACAACAGCAGTGATTTGCCCACCTAAGGCTGGTTTTCACAGTAGCTGCTGAGACATCAGAGTCAGGCCAAGGAAAACATAATTCTGGACTATTCTGTCAGCCAGTCTGTCAGCAGATTACCTCACCTACAACTACACATGGCCCATTCACGGAAAATGAGTGAGACTCAAAACAGATCATAAGTGAACACATCCCAGTGCAAGAGCAGCCGATTAACTGACCCTCCACCCACCTGCAGAAGACACCCAATGGCAACCTCACCTATGCTTAAGCAGGCTGACAGCAGGCAGGAGGTGTTTCAAATCTGGCATAAACAGTAGCTCATCTCATAGGTTTCAACTGCTTGTCTAGTAGATGTCAAGGTAAGGAGTCCTGAAGCGAGATCTGAAAGGCGTTTTCTTCCGAGGGCAGTGTTTTTTGGTTTTGTGACTATGGTTTACAAATATTTCAATCTTTTTGTTTTTTCCTCAAATGGAAACCAACCAAAAAGACCCCAAAATAATCCAGTGAATGGAATGGAGCCCTGTGAAGAACATTCACAGCCACATTTCGGGAGCTGTTTAGATTTCTGCAAGAGGCTTGGAAGCATTTCCCTCAAATAAACTCTGCTTGAACAGAGGCGCAGAATGAATGGAGAAGGCAGATCAAATGACAGCACTCAGATTTGGTGGGGTTTCATCATGTACTCAATTAGGGTTAACACGGAAGACTGTCCTGAGCCTTCTGTCACTATGCTTTATGTGCCAGCTGCGGCAGGGCTTCTGTCAGCAGAAGTTATATGTACCGATTGAGGGCAGTATATCATCTGCACAGGAGCTCGCTTCAAAACGCAGTGTGCGTTTGCTCGGTAAAATCCTCTCAGCCAACTAACTTTTCTTTCTCATCAGAATATTTTTCCAGCAGGTTTTTCCAGCCTGTTACAGAATGGATGTTATGACACAAGAAAAAAACCCAGTCTGCTCTTTTCTGTACAGAGCAAAATATTGCTCTCTGCTTAACTTTTCAGTGATCACCAAACAGAGGAGCAAATTATTGCTGCAGGAGGTCTGAAGCAATTTATGCAATATTTTGCTCACGAAGACTTATTGCTATTTCTCAGCAGTCATGATAGAAAAAATACATACTGAGTACCTTATTGCTTTTTAGCATTCGTAGAGTTTGCAACAAGCAGGAGTTGCTAAATTCAGTAGCCAGACAGAGGTGATGCTGCTGTGGTTCCATGCTCCCAGGGCCAGTGGGCAGTGGGCATGAGCATCCTAATAGATACCCACACGAGCACAACGGTATACAACGAATATATACATGGACACATGGTCAGTTCTATGGCTCATTGCAGACAGAAACACTAAGCACTCACACAAACACCACCACCACCAGCCTCCTCCTGTTTTCCTCTCTGGCTGCGCAGGATGAAAACCTGTTAGTGGAAAACATACATACATACATATACATCAACACACACAGTGCAGATGCCCTAAGTAGCTGGCCTCAAATACTCAGTCTATCCAATGGCTTGCCCTCAATCCTTTCCCTCTGCAGCTGCAGGCACCTTAGGACCAGCAGCCCCACTCCAGCTGCTGGTCTACAAACACACTGGCACACACACTACATATTCCTCCAGTAACTGGTCTTAAGCATTCAGCCTACCCAATAACAGGCTCTGACCCTGCTATCTCTATTTGCCTCACACAGACACATGCAAATGGATCCCAACTCAGTCAGCCCCCACAGACTTACACACCTTATGGTCTCCCCAGCAGTAGTCTTGGACTTCTGGTTCTCTGCCATAGCCAATTTGCAGACCCTCTGGTCTCTCTGGTATCTGACCCAGACTCACAGTTGCCTTGACACCTGGCTCCCAGGCCTCTTATTCTACACACTGTTAGTCCAGTTTTATCCTTGCACAGTGATACACACGCTGTTGGTCGTTCCCTTTTTGATTGCAACACAGACAAATGAGCTCCTATGATCTATGGGGTCCAGCTCCAGTTCCTGCAATGAGACCCCCAGACACACACAAATGTTCTCAGACCAGAGTCCCTCACCGGTAGGATATTTAGAAATGGAGCTTACAGAGAACACAAGACTAACTGTGGCCATCAGGAGGTTGGTCCCTTTTACCCCCTTCCTATTTTTCCATACTTCTTCCTTCCCAAACCACCTTAACCCCTCTCGCTGCCTTCGTCTCCTCCTCTAAGCCAATAAATCTAAATAGCCCAGGATGTTCTTCCCTGCAGCACATAATGAGGCCCACACCTCTGGTGGTAACTCCCCCTTGTCTGTAAGGTGCTCTGGAGACCATCTCCCACTGACCCACAGTGCTGGTGGCCATCCAGTCCCTGCGGCTGAGGCTCCCCTGGTACAACCACAGCAAGATCTGGGTCTCCAGTCTCTGACTGGGATCCTGGGGTCCCCCAAATGCTATGGTACCACTGTGCTCCTTCATGTCTGGGGGAAAGAGCCTTCCTCACATAACCTAACAAAATAAGCAACATCAGTGTCTTGAGCACTGCAATGAAGAGCAGAAATATAGTTGGAAAGGTACAGAATTATGCTTAATAAAGCCTGGGCAGACCACCAGATTCAAGACTATCCAGTGCTCCGGTTTTCCTGCAGAATGAGGCATCCCACAGTTACTCAGAGGCATGGGGAATTAAGAAGTTATATTGTATTTCAGAAACAGAAATACATGGAGTGCTCAGCAATACATTTATTATGGAACCAATTTAATCTACAAGTTAATGCAAAATGCTTCTTTTCTGCATTCTGATTTTGCTGTTATACGCTAGCGATTTCAGGCTGTAAGCTTCATACAGAACTACAAAGGTATCCAAAATCAGGATATTTCCATACTTCATATAATATTAGAAAACAATTATTTTGGCACATTCTAACTTATTTATAAGGTACAGAACATATTTTTATATCTGAAAATCACAATACACACAAAGGTGTCTGGATTATTTGAAGCTGACAGACAGTTTACAAGGTTGATGCAGTTCCAGTACACCAGTTTTGTGGCTGATTGTACAGAAAAGGTTAATTTCAAACTCAGCTCATGTAGTTTCCATGCAGATCTCTTCCTTTCCACCCACTTTCTGATGATTTACTGTAAATGAACAACCTGGCATAAAAATGGCTCACTCAAGATGTGAGCCATCAGCTCAACATCTGAAAAATGTCAAAGCAGTAACTTTACAGCCTTAATGCCCAAAGAACTTTATATCAATGTGGTAACAAAACCAACAGGGTGGTTTGATGAGGTTTGATATCCCTGACTAATGGAAACAGAAGCTCTCTCTGACAATCCCTAAAGAGGATCTTGT